TAGTCGATTCACTACTACCGATTGAAGAAGCTCTAACAACCTAATAAGATTCAATTTATCTCAGGTTGCAGCAGAAATCAAGAAAAGATGATCAGACTTAAATTGACTCAATGAATCATGCATCAATCGATTATATTCAAGCAGTATCACAAACCAAAAGTCATTACAATCAATATCCCTAACACATGGAACTAGGGTTCTTCATACCCAAGTGAGAGAGGGTTCTAATCCATAGAGAGAGAGAGAGAGAGAGAGAGAGAGAGAGGAAAACAGAAATCAGAGTAGTCATACTCATACAGATGGGAAATAATATGCTCTGGGATGTCGATCTTCACTCATGGGGATGCAATCTGGACTTCAATGGTGAGAAATCCATTCCAAATAGCTTCTAGGGTTTGTTATTCACATTTCTCTCTTTAGAATCTATTTTCTACTCAAAAAGTCGTCCCCCCTTTCCTTTGGCTCGAATCTGCCTAAAAAACCTGATTCTGGGCGAAATACAGGCAGAAATACGGTCGTAATTATGGCTTGCCCGTATTTTGCCCAAAACGCGCGTTTCACTAATCGCTGATGAAGAGGAAATACGGTCGCCCTTTTCAAAATACTGCCAGTAATAGAGCAATTATGACCATATTTACATTGGTGCTTGCCCGTCATTTTCACTTCGACAGACATCTTCAAGGGTTTGGCCCAGCATGCTGTTTACGGTCAGGGGCAAGGGCAAGGGAAATTACGACCGTATTTGTGCAGGGGACACCCGTATTTTGCACCTTAAATCGCCAAATGACATCCAAATGACCCGAAACTTGCACCTATGCCTCCCTCTACTTGCTAGGACCTGAAATAAGACAAAATAACCCAACCTAGCGTAAAATAGGCCAAGAAACCACAAATTCAAACCAAAATGGTCAGGATACAAGGGTGAAAACATGTGCAAATACGACGTTATCAAATTCCCCCACACTTAACTATTTGCTTGTCCCCAAGCAAACCAAGTCAGATACAAGGTAAGCTCAAACCATTTTTAACCATGCAACCCTTGAGGACATATCATATAGGTATGAAACACGAGAATCATACTGGCTCTTAGACATCAATACCTGGACAACTTCAACAACAACTTGGAAAACCACCACAGAGGACATTCGAGTGCAGCAAAATCGGGTAAAGGAAGAGTCTCCCTTCTGTTCACCAACCAAACTAGACTTGACTCAACCACTTATTTCAGATAGTCACCTCATGCATAGAACTCAAGACATCATAATCAAGACCGAGCAATCTAGGTCCTCACCGGGGTAAAGAGTGCAGAGAATATAAGGAAATGAATCGCTCACTCTCGACCAGTGGGGTCAGGACAATTTGATGCGAAAAATGCTCTTGCTTATTCTCTCAATCCCTAACATTTCTTCACCATGACGCCATTCTCTAAATGTTAGAGTTCACATATTGGATGTCACCACTAACTAATCCGGAGCTCTTAGACATAGGTTCAAATGACTGGATAGGATATTGGACATGGGGAAAAGGCCTTTTAGGTGGTGGAAATATTCATAACACAAGGTTCCACAGTCCCTAAACCAACAAAGTCACAATCATTCAAACTGATTACTTTCATTCTGCCATTCTGCATTAATAACGTTCTTTAGAGCACCAGAATGGAGGAGGTCACAACATGTTAGTATTTCTAAGCTAGACTGCTAAGAAACACTATTTAATGGCCATGATTCAGATTTTTGTGGTGGCTCTCTTTTGCTTTCCTTTCCTTTCCTTTGTTTTTACTTTTTTGCTCTTTCTTTTGAGAGAAACACCACCTCTACACATTTTTCAAACACATGCCCAACTTTTAAGAACTACCTCCAACCCTCACATTATTTTTAGCAGAAACAGCAGAGAACATGCAAAAACCACAATGTGGAACCTCTAAGAGATGCAAAAGGGTGATTTTTCATTGTAGACCAAAAGAAGGAAAGTGACACAGCTCAAAGGGGCTGACTAAGGGGTATGACACACTAGGACAGTCAATTTGGTCGTGGGCTATTCCTATGCCTCCATCATCCTAATTAGTGACAACATGAATGCTACACATCATGGAAGAGGGATCTATCACACACGAAAGAAACGAGAAGGCTCAAATCTCACATGGCTACCTATATGCTCGATCTCTCATTCTGATTCCCTGAACTAGATGTATAAACGACTGTCAAGAACAAGTGATCAATCCAAGTCACAGTTGGTAAGCAAACAGTTGAAAAACTAAACCCCTACACAACTCTTTTGCACATCTCAGGCATCAATATAGGTTGTGCTAGTCACAATCCAGTTGGCATGCATCAATTCTAACAACCATTCGATTCACCAATTAAACCACAATGCCAGTATGATCATGCAAACATCAATACTTGGAGCCCTCAAATCTCAAGATTTGGACAGCGGACTAGACTCCAAGCACACAAATATACGTTCCAATAAAGACAAAGAACCCCCCCACACTTAAGTTCGACATTGCCCTCAATGGAGCAAAGGGAAGAGGAACGATGTTACCAGGAAATGAGAAGCGGGAACGCTGACTGGAAGGCAGACCAGTCAAGTTAGGAGACTGGAAGGGGACCAGTCCAACTGGCATAGAGCTAGAATCATGAAAACACACACAAACTGGGTGAAAGAATCCATAGTTCCAAGTCTACAATCCAAATAAACTGGATAAGAGAAAATGAAACACAACATGGAGTCTTAGTCTGGAAAGAAAGACAAATACAGAGCCCAGTTCGATGGGTCAGCAGGCAGGAACAACCTAGTTCTCATCGCCACCATCGCCAGCTGGAGGTGGGTAGAGATCCTCATGCCTCGGAGAAGCCTCCCAGGGGTAGCTAATAGCAGCAGGGTCTATGTCCCAGTAGTGGATCATGTAATGCTGAGCCGAAATGATACGGCGACTACCTTTGCGCTCACGGTCGAGGGGGCATTGAGTTGCTTCTGGCCAGCAAGGACCTACTCGTTCTGGCGAGAGATGGATGCCAGCTGTTGAGCAATGTAAGACGTGGGGGCAGGAGCAGAAGGGCCAGCAGCAGAGGTGGATGAGCCAGCTGCAGAAGTCGTTGTCCGACGAGTAGTCTGACGGGGTCCATGTCGAGCACCGGTATCACTCGCCTCTGGGGAATCAGCGCCCTCTAGTGCACGAGGAAAAAGGCGGGCGAGTCCTTGAATCAAGGTCACGCCCCGTCATGTTGAAGTAACAGTTGGCGCCGCAGGGTGTCCCGGGAAAAAGGTTTCGCAGCCTAGGCCACTGATGCGATATCGACTAGCGCGATATTTAATTCTCGTGGTAAAAAAATGTAGATTCATATTCAATGATTTAAGGATCAACTAGGAGCATTCTTGATGGATAAAATGGAGAATGCATTAAGGATCGGGCCTACAACATTTCTTGGAGCCTAAAAGGTCCATCCTTGCTGTCCAAGTCGTCCAAATGTGAAAAGGACAAGGAAAGAGATTGCTTAACCACTAAGGAGCTTCCTTAAGCATTAAAACGTGTTTGGAGATTACTTAGCTGCTAAGGAGCTTCCTTTGGTCATAAAAACGAGTATAGTCCTTATTTAAGTATTATTATGTTTCCTAGTTAGTTTGGGATTTGTTTACCTATTCCTTTTAGGTAAGTTTTATGTTTTTGTGACCTCTATAAATAGAGGGCGTAAGAGCTACAAATTTTGTACCCAATATTCAAGTTATCAATCAAATTTGAGTTCAAGTTCATTGCGAACGAGTTCTTTTGTGCAAGACTTCTGTCGAGGATTCCAGGAGATTGTACGTGTCTCTTATCAACTAGAGAACGCGTCTAGTTGTGGCGAGCATCTACCCTATATTAATTTCCCCTTTTCACGAGTTGATTTTGTACGATTGGTTTAATATACCAATTGCCTTTTGTCACGAGTTGGGATTGTCTGATTGATTCCGTATCTATCTTTTATTTCAAGTTGTTCAAGTTGGAGAAAAGCTTCGAAAATCCTTAAAAAGAAGGAAGGCTGCGTACTTTGGTCATATCATCCGAGTTCGACGGTTGTCTTCGAATCAAGATCATATCAAGAATGGAGGAATATAGAGCTTGTCATGGTGTCCCCTATAAGAGTAACCATCACTATAAACATCGAGATAGTTACGACGACGAGTATGGAGAACATCTGCAACTAATGAATGACATAGAGATCCCCACTTTTTCAAGGTCAAAGTAATCCAGATGCATACTTAGATTGGGAAGAGAAGATGGAGATCACATCTGATTGCTATGAGTGTTGCGAGGAAGAGAAGGTTACCTTTGCTGCTAGTACATTCATTCATCATGCTCTTGATTGGTGGACTCAAGAATGCTCTAAGAGTCGACTTTTTAGAGAGGAACGACCAGGAAAGACATGGTAGGAGATGAAGCAACATATGAGAGGAGGTATGGCCCTACACAACATTAGATGCATCGAGCACTTGATCTTCTTTGACAAGGTTCTAATAGCGTGTATGATTATTTTAAGAAGATGAAGCACCTAATGGCTCGAGCTGATTTTAATGAAGATGGGGATGCAACTATATCTCGATTTCTCAATGGTCTTAATAGTGGGATAAGGCATGTGGTGGATATTCAGCCTTTTATTGATTTGAATGAGTTCGTACAAATGGCAATCTAAGTGGAGAAGCAGCAAAAGAGAGGTTATACACGACATATTGCTTCGTCAACCAATCTGAGTTTGTCAAATACAACAAAGGCTTCATATCCACGACATGAAGATCCCAAGCCCATCCTCAAATCGAATCCATCACTTATATCTTCAAGGGTAATCTGCAATGACAAGACTCGCTCTGACTTTCGTTCTAGTGATGTTATGTGCTACTAGTGTCAAGAAAAAGGTCACATGGCGAGTCAATGTCCCAAGAAAAGACGTATGGTGCCCTTGGAGAATGAAAATGTCTAGAATGTGCAAAGGGACAATGAGAAGAAGCTTGTTCAAAGGGAGCTAATGGAAGCAGGCAAAAGGATTAAGAAAGAGCAAGAGGCTGCCTGTGCAAGATCCGTTGATATTGATTTAAGTCATGATTCTTCAAGCTCAATTCGCAGTGAGGAAGTTGTAGTAGCAGCTAATGTCAATGATGAGAAGGAAGATGCTACCACAAATATGAGTACTTCCCGAGTAGAAGAGGAAGTCGAAGAAAAAGCGAAAGAAGAGGTTCTTGTCGATGGACTTGTTATAGCTACCTGTGGCGAAATTGCAAAAGCTTTGATGCCTTCTCAAGAAAAACCAAAACTTAAAATAGAAGATGAAGAGAAGGTGCTACCTATCATCAACATGATAATGGATTGTGATCATAATAAGGCTTTCCATGCGAATCAAGGTATGGAAACAAAGGAGAATTATCTATAGGAAGAAGTCCAAGAGGAGTCACCCCTCACTCAAGTTGATTTTTCCATTGGAGTAGATTTTGATAGTGGAGATGTTACCCAACATCACCAAAATTCGTCCATGGTCATCTTCAACACCTCAAGTATACCAACAATACCAAATTCTGCTTATGAATATGGTCAAAGCCCTTCTCAATGCAAGTATTAATTCAAATGGGAAATTGTGGTGCGAGTGTTGAGCATATGGAGTTCGTTATTGGAGATGAAGTGCCATACAAGGAGGCACATATCAGAGAGAGATGAAGGCTTCAAGTATTTGTGGATAAGCTTGGATTTCAAGGTGCATATTCAAGTTGGCAAATAATGAAGTCATGGAAGAGGATTTATATGTCGCAAAAAGATTTGAGGTCAAATCTTCTTCAAGGGGGAGGGAATGATGCGACCTCGCTCACCCCTTATGGCGTTATTCGGGCTCAAGTAATCCCTTCAAATGGACCATGGACCGAGAGACTAATTAAGAGGTTCAAAGAGATCTTGGAAGCATTCAAGATGGGTGAAAATGGTTCTGCAAGCAAGGCCTACGAGTTTGTTGATGTGAAATCGATTGGCAGATCATGTAATTCTTGTGGTCCAAAGATGAAGGCCCGAATACAACGATACAAGGATCAAATGGGATCATTCTTGATGGATATGGAATTGCATCGAGGAAAGCCCATCACATTAATGTAATTTGCGGACCAGAATCACTAGAAGATGGGCTTGGAGAAAGCAGTGAAGATTCAGCCCAAAAGAAAGGAATTCCCCCATGGTGTGAACAAAAAGTGTGAAAGGAACACAAGTGTGAAAGGAATATCAAGTGGTATCAAGAGCCCGGTTCAAACTCAGCGGCGATTTGAAGATTACTGGTTCAAACTCAGTGGCGATTTGAAGATTACCGGTTCAAACACAGTGGAGAAAAGAAGATTTTTTTGAAGAATGGAGCAAAATCAACGAAAGATGAAGATGATGATGCAAATGCTCAAGTCGACAAAATTTATTCTTCAAGGATTAAAGGGGAATAATGCGCCAGCAACAATAATTCAACCTGAAGCTCGTTTGATGATAGGGAGTTCAAATCCAAAGCAAAATCTCGATCAAAGGGATAATAAATTTCAAACAAGATGCTTAGTGGATGGTAAGCTACCATCAGTTGTGATTGATGGAGATAGTTGCACTAATTTGGTGAGTGAATATTTGGTGAAGAAATTGGAGCTAAACACATTCAAACATGCGAAGTCCTACATTCTTCAATGGTTTAATAAAGATGGATCAATTGAGGTCACCAAGCAAGCCATATTGAAGTTTGAGATTGGAAGCTATAAAGATGAAGTTCTTTGTGATGTGGTGCCAATGGAAGCAACTCATGTTTTGCTTGGAAGACTGATGCTCTAAAACATAACACCTAACAATGGCCAAGTGTAACCAATGAAAGGGACTGCAGTATAGTGGCACAAGTAATAAATATCGAATCCACGGGTCTCTAGAGTTACTATTACTCAGCTTCAGTTTATTATCTAGCAAACTAGATTAAGGATTGATTAACTAAACTACTCTACTAACTAAACTAAGTAAAACTACTAATTACAGTTTGGGAACTCACTTAGGTATGATTCCCCCTAGCTCCTCAATTAGGTCCAAGTTGTAATTCCTTTTGGTTGATTTACTGTTGATTAAACTGCGGAAGATCCGACAGTAGCTTGGAATCTCTTAAGCTGACCAAGCCCTCTCAGTCTAACTATCCGGCAGACGACTAGTCTTCACCGGGATAGAAAGCTAAAGCAATAAGCACAGAACTCCACTACTGGAATTGGATTCCAGTACAAAGCAGTAAACTGGCTAACTCTCGTATAGCCAATCTCCTACTACCGAATGATGAGACTCTAGCAACCTAATCAGATTCTATCTATCTCAGATTGCAGCAGGAATCAGGAAAAGTTGATCAGACTTCAATTGACTCAATAAACATGCATCATTCGATTATAATCAAACAATATAGCATCCAAAACTTCATACAAGAAAGATCCTAACTCATGGAACTAAGGTTCCTCAAAACCTAAGTGAAGGGAAGTTACTCCATAGAGAAGAGAGAGACTGCAGAAATCTGATATAGATCTTCAATCTCCATCTCCAAGCTTGATTCCTGAGCTCCAATGGCGAAGAAATCCTCCAAAATAGCTCCAAGAATGTTCCCAAGTCGCTCTCTCTCTCTAGGGTTCGTCCCTTGGGTGTTTGGGATCCAAAACCCAGCTCTCCCCCTTTCCTTTTGCTGAAAATCGGGTTTTAAACAGCAATTCCCGACTCACACGGCCAGGCCACACGGCCATGTGGCTTTCCCAGCTGCCCGTTTGAAGGCTCGATGATTTCCACACGGCCACATGGCCAGGTCACACGGCCGTGTGGGTTGTGCCCGTGTGGCTTGCTCAGCCTCTGTTTAATGCTTCGTTTCTCCCTCGTCCGGACTCCGAATCAGTCGCCGTTTGATCCCAGACGCTCGTAGTCTCGTCCTCTTTCTTCTCATGACAAGATTGCATGATTCTTTGTCCATAAAGTGAGGTAGAAATCCATTCTTCTTCAAGTCTTACCCGAGTTTCTTCTCCCGAATCATCAATTGATCTCTGATTGACTTGAAACTTGCGCCTATGCTTCACTTTATGTGCTAGGACCTGAAATGTGACAAAGGAACACAACCTAGCGTAAAATAGGCCAAAAACACGATAATTCAAGCTCAGACAATCAAGAAACAAAGGGGAAAACATGTGCAAATACCAAGTCATCAAATCCCCCCACACTTAACTGTTTGCTTGTCCCCAAGCAAACCTAACTCAAACCAATGCAGCTCTCCAGAGCTCTATAGCAACATTCAACCCCGATCGTCGGTAGAGGATTTCCTAGATCATATAGCAGCTTACGAGGTCAACTGGTCTTCTAAGACGTTCCCTATCTCTCTCAATGCGAGTACTAGACTCAAGCCAGGATCATGAGAAAAAGTAGAAGTAAGACAGTCATTTCATGGATAAAGGGACTCACACCATTCACAACCAAGGATTCGTTGTACTGGGGTGCTCTTTCACTTCATTTCACCGTTGGAACCCCTTTTTCTCACTTTTACATTTTTTCTTTCATTTGGTGGGGTTCCAACTGCAGTCTTTTGCACGGTCGACCCTTATTAGTCGAGCAAGATCAATTTCTGTACATCTGGAGCTCGCCATAGTACTTCTTTTAACTCCTTTTCCTCAACTTGTGTGGAGGGTCAATGAAATTAAGGGGGGTCGGAAGCTCTATCCGTGCCCTTAAAAACACATCCTCAAGTAAGCAAACCGTTCAACGGGTGGAAGTTTTACTTGTACTAGAGACAACTTAGCTTCACCTTGTAGGAGTACCCCACTAAGGATCACTAAAATCTCTTCCAAAACCTGATTTTGTGCAATGAACGGTGCCGCACACCTTGGGCTTACCCCATGTTTAAGATTTAATGATTTTGACATGGAGGACCAACTGCTTCCCATTTTCCATATGAGCACCCTGTTCGATACACGAGTCCATAACATAATCCAAACAGAGTCACCATTACCACATGAATTCAACGGTCTTAGCTCCACTAATTCACAAAATCAACTGCTACAACAGAGAGCTAGATAGGAAAAATCTTATACTTCAACATCCTCCATAGTGCTACACTACCTCCCTAGGTTGCACATTACTATAGAGACTGTCAATTCAATGCATACTGAGCAGGCAATTTGCAAGGAAACACATACTTGGAGCCCTCAAATTTAAAAATTTGGACAGTGAACTAGGCTCCAAGCACACAAACAGCCAAACATTCACCCGCATACATAATCGAACACCCCCCACACTTAAGCACGACATTGTCCTCAATGGAGGAAAGATAAGGAGGGTAGAACGAAGTTACCAGATCAAGGGTGAATGATGATGTACGGGTCAGGCAGTGCATTCCAGGAAGAGAGAGTAATCAGAACACAAACACCACACAAAATCTCACAAAGGTTGAGTTATTGACTCTAAAATCAAATAACAAAACTGACTCAACCGAGGAGAAATAGAGAAAGAAATGCAAACCGACTGGTTGGGTTGCCTCCCAACAAGCGCTTCTTTCACGTCGTGAGCCGGACGATGGCTCCTAAGTTTCGGTCCATGCTAGAACCTCCTTGAAGTTGAGGTTCTCGTCGATGAGGTGGAGTCTCAAGTCACGAGCATGTGGTGTGGCAGGTGATGAAGGCTCAGGTACTTGATGCAGATGAAGTCTCCACCCTCGAGACCTCTTCTTCTCTTCTCTCGTCTCATTGCCCCAAACCAGATATGACAGCATCGATTGGCCACCATCGCGTCCACCAAGAGGGACCGATGTTGATGTGGCCTTGGTCTGGCAAAAAGACACTGCAAATGGGTCCTTGCCAAGCAGCTCCTCGAAGTTTGGTGGAGATATCAAATGTAACATAGGGCCGGTGCAAGCCTCTTCCACCTCAACTTCATCCTCATCCTGGACGCCAATTGCTTCCTCAACCCCCCTTTCTTCTTCAAAATGTGGTCTCTCCTCTGGGAAAAGATCAAGAACCACCTCTTCTTTTCTTTCTTCCTCATCATCCACAACTTCCTTCCTCATCCTTGCTCGCTCTTCTTCTTCTAGAACAGATTGGAGAGCAAGTCGCCAAGCAATTTCTTCAATGGGATCATCTTGCATCTCGTCGCACGGGCCCATCATGTTAGAGCATAAATGAGGAAAGGTGTGGTCTGCAACCAAAGGACTTTCCTGATCATGATTATCATAAGAGTTCTCTGTGATAACTTCTGTATTCTCCTCAACGCTCCCATAGCCTTTGTCATCCTCCACCTCTTCTAGCGTGGTAGAGGAAAGGTGATCTTGGGCAAGATGCGAGCAAACTTGCTTCACCCACTCTGTTTGCTTCGCTGAGCGCTGACCAGTCTCCTCCATATCATGGAGAAATGAGGGATCGGAAGTGG